GCATCGAACAAAGAAACTTGTTGTGAAAGTTTCCGTGGTGCGCGATAAAGTGTTCTTCTCCGGCAGCGGATACGCGTTTGTGGATGATCGCGAGCAAAGTTAGTGCGCTTTCGATGTGATCCCGCCTTTTCGTCGAGGGCAGAGAACGATACATCGAGGATGCCGCGAGAGATATTCCTATCCCTTTTGGGGATCCTCGTCGTGGGCGCAGAAGGCACGTATCTTTCTTCACCGCTAATTGCCAATCTAACGGTTGCACAACTCGTATTAAATCCTATGTATTTCGGATAAGTTGGGTATGCAAAGGAAAAATAGAGAAGAATTGAGACACGTGTAGATTGTAGGTATCGCAGAGTCCGTTGAACCGCCGCGTCTCCGATATCTCTGTATAGAAAGGAGAAGGAGCGCTCGTTAGCTATTTCGAAATGAAAAATCCAACGGCCACCCGGTATTTTCCATCTGTTCCCGAGTTTTGTCCCTGGCACTTTGTAAGTAAAGGAATACAAGCGCAGAAAACAGGTACCGCCCACTCGGTTCTCGTCCACGCGGATTTTCTGGTGTCTCGAGGTCACCCGGTGTATCCGCTTCGTATGAAACGCACAGGTTCCTCTCGCTTTGTGTTTCGTTTCCTCGAAAAATCTCGCCAATTCCATTCTGATTTTTAATCCCGAAAGGAGAAAGCACGCCGCGTGTCGGGCCAGTTATTTTTGCCCAAGGATGGTCCCACCTTGAAACGTTTCGGCCCAATAACAACTGCGATTCGTGAAACCAACGGACCATTTAAACATATTCATCGAACGAGTCAGCCGGAAACGGGATGAATTTGCATTCGCCTTTCCCGTCACGCGTACTCCGCGCCAATTCCACCGATTTTCCTATTTGAACGTCGCCTCGCTTGACCGTGTTTTTCTTTTATTCCGTTAAGTTTCATTTGAATAAAACTGGTCGTGCAACGTAGGAAACAGGACTCGCCGCGGAGGCAGTCAATCGAAGCAAGCTTTACCTTTTGTAACTCTTATTCTCCTAGTTGACCTACATGAAACACCTTGGTAGACGTCGTATCTCGAGCCTGAGGATATCAACACTCTTACAATATTACCTTGCAAAAACACGGTCAGTAATGCACCATTAGCTTGGCAAAAAGAAAAGAAACAAGTACTTTATCTGCTTTTCGTCGCTAACGCACAATCTCGGTTCGAATTAAACGTGAAGATCTACTAAACGTAGCACGGTGGGTTTTACGTCATCGACGCGTAAACCGCGAACCTTTTCGTGGCAGGTAACGCTCGCTTGAACTTTCATTTGTAGGAGCAACAACGCGTAGGAAGGACGTGTCTTTGGTAGCAGGATAAATGGCTGCTTGAAAGTAACACCGTCGTCCATGACAATTATTCGAGCGTTATACCTGTCGAATAAAGGCTATCTTAAACGATTCGAAGCAGCCTTTCCCATGGTGTTACCTCACAGATAGAGCGGTTTTGCGATCGGTGTGAATAATCGTAAACATAAGTAACAGGAGAGTCCAGTATTCGCACGCCTCTGACCGATCCAGTTCCGTAGATCGTGCGATAAAAGGATAGGGTGGCCGATGTAGCGTGTTGAAGCTCGGTTCGCTAAGAGGTGGGGAAGTAAAAGCGTCCTCGGGATTCCAGGTGAACGCTTTTCTTTCGTGCACTTGCATAGAACGTTTCCACCGTGGCAAGCTGGGATCGCTGTAACATTTACCTTCTCGACGGTTCGGCTAGACTCGCGGTAACTCACGCCACGGTACCACGCACCCCAGTTGGGCGGGGCATTCGTGTTTGGACAGCGGATACAGGTGAAATTTCAGGCGACAGCAGGTCACTTCCTCCGTGCGATCAGCATGCGCGACGAATCGTGCGCAATTTTGGTCGTGGCCGTGTGTTCACGGAACGCGATTCCTCCTCCTCCTCCTCCTCCTCGACCAATTACACAATCCGAGTATCAACTTTGCCGGGACGTATTCTCGTGAAATTTCGCCTGTCACGCGTTTGCAAATTTTTTCGGGCCACGATCTCGTCGAACGTGCAAACTTCGGCGAGAGCTCGGGCTATAGGAAGGTGTAGGAAAGTAGACTTGGATTTCCTGACGCGTTGCAAGGTGTCGCAAGTGATAGTCGATCGCGATGACATATGCGCCACGTGCTCTCGCACCTCTCGTACAATAGATTAGGAAACCACCGCGCGAAACAAACTCTTTTCTACCGTTCTCCGCCGTTAGAAAGAACAGCCGATGTTTTCTTACGATAATGCCGGTCGATTTGAAATTAGAGTGTTTCACGTGGCACGAATTGCCCACCTCACCGTCTCTCGGTCTCTTACCGAGCCTTAGATCGGATCCTTATTCTTCAACCGGTTCCCAGATGCTCCACCGTTGCCCACCGGGCGGTTGTAAAATTCCCTCTCGGTATGTCCCGTTTACGTAAACGCGATAACACGTAATATCTGTCGTTACCATTACGTCCTTTTGCCTTTCTTTTCGATTAAGTCACAACACGGGAGAGTATGTCGCTTTAACGGTAGCTCTCGGACTTTGACTGTGAAAAAAGCGAATTATATTCGATTTCATACTGGCCGGTGGTACCCGGCAGCGATCGTTTATCACCGGCAGAGAGAAGAAGAAGAAAAAAGTGAAATGCAGTGGAAAATGAAATTTGAAGGAAAAAAGGCTTCCGAACAAATTGGTCTCTCAATAACACATCGGCTGTATCCTTGACGATCGATCTCTCTTTTTTTTTTTTTCTTCGCGAGATAGATCGCAAACAGGCACGCCCACTTTCCAACTTCCTGACAATCGCTTTTGTACGTGCAATATTACACCGGCAGAGATACGGACCTGTATTCGTGTTCCCCTCGCGGTCTATGTACATACATCGACGCAATTATTGCAAAAGATTCGCGTCGAAACGAGCCATTCTATTTTCGATGTTCCGTGTTCCAATGCCGCGGCAGGTACGTTTTTATTCGAACGGCGATACACGCGTTCGGGTAAAGTTGATCTCTCGCCGAGAAAACTCACAGCGATAACGTTATAGTACGATTACGGAGGAGAACTAAAAATTGAAACTACTTAATGGTAGGCTAAAGTTTTTCGGAAGCTGCGAGAAAATGGAATAGAATAGAGAATGCTAGTTACATTTTGGTCGAACCATTCCGGACCAAGATTAAAGGAAAATGGCGATAAACCAAGAACTGTACCGTGACACGCTTCACCGGTAGTAGTCTCGATCCGAAGTATGTAGCTCCATGTCGTACCGTTATTTCGGCTTCAAAGTTTTGTAACCGCGTGACCCAGACCCATGAGGCGATCGGTGAATGCCAAAGACCAGGGTAAAGCTAAATAGCAACGTGCTTACACGTATATACACGCACTCGGCAATTAACCGGGAATTCTCGGCCTCTTCGTCTTTTCCGGATCTGGATTCGCCGAGCCTCCTTCTTCTCTTTCCACGTCTTTTCTTAATTCGACCGTTTCATTTTCAAATTTTCTCTAGATTGTTGGTCAGTTTCGTTGAACTGTAGAAAGTTAGTCTGTTGAGTCGAAGAGGTGAATAGCACTCGGTGACCGTTATTGTAAACAGTGTTTCTCCGCGGCTAATTAGCAAGTTCACTCTGAAGCCGTGGTGAAATGATTTTAATTCTATAGAAAGTGAGGAACGGAAATCTGAAAGACGGCGCGTTTCGAAGAGAAATAATCGCCGGGGACCGTTGCACGCGCGAACGCGTTTGTACTCTGTTTAATTAACCCGTTCGCACGAAACGGTAACTCGACGTGTCTCACGAGAAACCGCCGTCTTCCCGGGAAGTTTCGGCGGAATAAAGGAGACAACCAACGGTGGCTTTCACCCCGTAGATCGAACTCGCGTACACGTTCGAATAGAAGTTACCGGGCTTCTCACAGGCATTCAATTCGAAAGAACGAGCGGCGTGAAGGTGAGGAGATTGTAAATTAGAATCGGTTAAGACCGTCCAGTTGGAAGATCTAAGGCCATCTCTCCGAGTGATCAGCCTTGAAACATCGCCGGAAACTTCGTTGGACGAATCGCACGACTGCGCTCCTCTAATCGCTTTTACGATTCTATCGCTCTAACAGTCGACGAGTTTCACGAGGTTCAACTCCGTCTTAACGACTTATCACCCGTGAATATGCATCTGCTTAACTGCAACGGTATATACCAACGTCTACGATTCGACACGCGGCTTTCTCATCTGGAATTCAGTTTGATCGCGTGGACAAGCCAGTTTTCCTACTTTCCGTGAATACTTTGCAAATTCCCCGGAAAAATCCCTGGACAATTGTGTCATTGGCAAAAAAAGAGGACCATTACAAAGGTTGCCGATCGATATCCTTAACCCCTTGCTCGTGGCACAGATTGCTCGTGGCCACTTGCAGGTGGCAAAGTCAAGAAAAGAAAAGAAATTGTGATTAAGGCAGTGTACGCATGTAAATAGATATTTTTTTGCGGTTGCAACCAAGCTTGCGCGTTTCTACTCTCGCGAGAGTATTCTGCGGCAAGTTCTATGGAGCACGTGCTCACGTATACGCCGGTCGATTTCCATCGTCCGCGAACCGCCGGGCTTTTCACCGCTGGAAAAAGTTTCTCGTCGATACTCGCGTCGTTCGCCATCCTATCTGCACTTTGCGGCTATTCTCTATTCTCGACCTACGATAAAAACTCTTCCCTACGGTTTCCCGACTCGCAGAATTCGAATAATGGAGTACGCGTGGGACTCTGACCAAGGTTTCTCTTCGTCTGGTGTCGCACACCCATTGTTTCTTTTACTTCGAAAGCTATAAGTCTATACGGGTGTCGTTACAAACTTGAGCGTTCCTCTTAGGAATCGCATCTCCGTCCTTGACATCTCTTCGCGGGTTAACGACAAAGTGTACGCACCTACTTGCGTAACGAAAATCACGACACAAA